TGCCCAAACATCGGGATGTTTACCCGAAGAGTTCAATCTAACGCACGCTTACTCTGTGTTCCAACGATTTGACCACCAGTATATAAGTTTCACACGAAAGACTGCGTAACAGAACGCTCTCCAATCCCTTTGCGTCCATTGCGTTTTTCCCTCTCACCGCACTCGTGCTGCAAACAATTGGAAGATGTCCCATCAGAGTTCGCTGGCCGTGGCGGTGCTCCTGCAGATGACGCAATGATTGGTGCTTCTCCTTCAAACAATTGCTTTCTTCTGCCACGCTTGCCCACCGAGCAAAGTTTCATCGGAGACTCCGTGGGTATTGCTTGTTGTACAAGTCGCTTGTGCGCGTGCATATTTCCTGTCGCGACGCTATTTAGTTCACACATCATTCCTAAGCGGCGCTTCCAACGCGACATTTTGCCGACAAAACGTAACCTGTCTAGAAGTATTTTTGGATTCCTTTTGTTCTTACACATGCCCTCCACATTGCCCGAGAAGAGATAAGGTGCACGGCCCTCACTTTTCCAACGCGGTATTACAAATGCTCGATATATCGCTCAATCCCCTCCACCTGCCACGAACCGTTACGCAGGAGAATGTCGATAGCGCGTCGCGCAACAAGTCGAACTAGATGGTTCTTTTTTGCAACTAAACTGCCCTCTCACAATGCTAACATGAAGTAAAATTACTGCGCAAGTCGCGCTTGACTTGCTGTTCCTTTTCCATTTGACCGTTATCAGCCGTAATTCCCCAAACAGGTTTACCTGTGAGCGGTTCTTACTCCTTTTAAAGGGGTGCATGCTCGGGCCGGATGATTTTGAGTTTGTCTCCGGGCTTGTGTTCCTGGCCGCATCCAGAGCTTACTGGGAGACAAGTGGGAGACAAATGGGAGACAAGCCTGAAATCATGCGGCCAGAGCACTGAGAGCATCGAGAGCTTACTGGGAGACAACTGGGAGACAAGTGGGAGACAAATGGGAGACAAGTATGAAATCATGCGGCCAGAGCACTGAGAGCATCCAGAGCTTACTCGGAGACAAGTGGGAGACAAGTGGGAGACAAGTGTGAAATCATGCGGCCAACCTTTGAATCTTGTATGTGCGTCTACATGGTGGACTATAGTTTTCTTCCTCTAGGAAATACTGCTGGCCATATTGTTCGGAGATCTCATTTTTGAACATTGCTCTGTTTGGGGTCTACGCTGGTATAATTTTATTACCTCCTCTCTCCGACAGTGATCCGGCTTCCACGGGAAGCGAGAAGCGGGCGCACCACATGTTCACTTTGTCTTCGCCCTCTTCCCTGTTCTTTTTGTTCTTGCCTTGCTTTCCAGACATGTTTCTAAAAGTTTGTTCGGCCGGTTTCTGTCGTTGTTTGCTTTCTGTTCGTTTGTTTCTGTGAGCGACAAAACAAAAGCCCCGTGCGTCAGTCACGCACCATTTCTTGAGCCAAAACGCGAGTGGTCATTTGACCGGTTGACACCTTTCATGGTGACTGCACATCGAAAACCACATGTCCCACAGTTTCGTTTTCTTTCTTTGTTTCTTTGTTTCTTCGCTTTATGTTTCACCCTGCGCGAGTTTCGGTTCTACCTGGTCTTTTTCCAAGATGGCCTTGGTGCTTCCGTGGAACATGGCACAACCACCCCTGAACCTGACGCCAAACTTTATGAAGCTTTTGTGAAATTTGATTCCGGTTTTGGGGTCAGATTCATTTACAACACGCTGAGGACATCGACCGACTAAAGGCTATTTTGGCATTGGACAGCTTCGTGCGCCTCGTCATCAAAACAATGTGGGACATGGGAAGTTAAGGGAAAGGAATCCAACAAGCTGCATGAGTTTGATTTGGCAACCCCCGCCCATGGAGCTTTCATTGCACGAAGACCATTGAGTGTCCACGACAGCTGCTTTTGCTTGAACGAGCGGGGCTGCGAACGATCAGCTGAAATCTTGAACGGCATGGCCCGAGAAACCTTCTTTGCCTTCATTGGAACTCCCTTCATCCCAACAGGCTGTAAAGGCGTCAAAAAAGAGCAAATCCTTTCACCCAAGCTTGAGCCGCGTGCTCTACAGTACAAACACGGTGGCACTTGTTGGTCGACCTTTCTATTCAGAATTGCTGGCTCTATTGTGGAATGTGTGGCAAAAACGTTCTCAAACCTTCCGCGCTCAAGGTGCGACGATTGGAAGATTCAGCCTGGCCTCCAACTCCGTTGGTTCTTGTTGCTTTCCTGCAGCATGAGACACTGGTATGTCACTCGGCTGAACTGAAACGCAATATCCTTTGCTCAACGATAGAGCAGAAAGATTGGCTTGGAGTTGACGTTGAAAGGAATTAAGCTACAGCAGCCTCTCTTAGAAACGACAGTTGGAGGCCATCGCTAGTGGGTTCGAGGCCATTCCTGTTTGGTTGTGGTCCCTTTCAGTCACAAACACCAAAAGACTTCACGCCTCCCGTCAGAAGAGCTTTCCACAGTCAAGATGTACTCCGAGATGTAGGTGTGCCTGGCGGGGCTTTCGGGTATAAGTTTTGTATGTTCAGCCTTTGTTTTCAAGTGCCCCAAAACCAGATGAGATTTTTCGGATGGATTGAGTGCACTTGCCCTTTCCACAGAAGCTGGCGGCAGGCCACCCAAAATCTTGAGTGGCAATCCGTTGAATTCAATCAGAGTGTCCCAAAAAGTACGATGGTTTTTGCACTGAGAGATCTTGAACGCAAATGTAAACCCCATAAGGCTGCAGGCCTCCTCCGATCAATGAGACACTCTCCAGGGCCACGATATACTCCAGGATGTAGGGACGCCTGGCGCGGCTCGTAAGATAGGGCCATGAACGCCAAGACGTAGGGCCTGACGAGCTTTGAAAACACCGTGTTTAAGTTGGTATACAGGGCATTTTTCAAGGTCTGTCGTGGGTGCTTCAGATTGTATAGTATAGTGTTCTCTGATCTTGAACCCGGCTGCAAGCCTCCAATGTCCAGGGTCAACCAATGGTGCACAAGCTTGGAATGACCTGGGCCGGCAAATGCGCCATCCAAGGAAAATTGACACTGGCTGGGCATGCAGCTGGCTGGTGTTCTTTTGGCTGGGCATGCAGCTGCTGGTATTCTTTGCGCGACGCTCTTCGAGAGACTCTTGTTTTGCAAGCTGTTTGGCCGTTTGCATCCCTACAGCTAAGCTCATCAAGCTCCACAGGTGGCGACCAAACAAAAAGTGCACCTCTTTGACATGTTAAACGTGTTTGTTGAGAAGGGTCGCCCTATCCATGAAAGCTTAGATGTCAAACTTTGGCACCTCCGTTTTTGGAGATGTTCCCGGATTCTCTAGTCATAGAGACCCCATTCAAAACCAAACCATCTAATCAAGATCGCACGGCCACTTTGCCCGGGGCTTTGCATGAACCCAAGCTGAAATGACAGTGTCGAATTTCTTCCAAGTACATTGACCCTTACCACTGTTGTTTTTCTCACCAGCTGTCCTCTTGACAACAAACGCCACAACTACCTGCGTTCTAGGCGCTGACACTTTTCCAAGTCGCAAGCGCTCCTTCCATCGGTCCCAAAACCCAAAGGAAGTTGTTTTGAACTGTTTTGAGCGCAAACTTGGCTGCATGGTAAGCAGCAGCGTTAGTTGCAGCGAACTGCAGCACTGAAATTCAATAATTTCCTCTGCGCACACTTCAGCTCAGGACCCTACGCCCAAAGAGAGGCGCACGCCTGTGTGGAAGTGAGATCGAGGAAAAAAGTTGCACATGGAGCTGAGAGCCAGATCCGCAGCCTGCGATCCGATTAGTATTCGACGCGAGCAGTACCAAGTGTGCCAAGAAATGAAACGTGCCACAAACCGTTAGATGGTGCTGGTGATTGATATGCTGGGCACCCAAGTGAGGGAATTGTAGCCGTGCTACCTTAATCGAACTCCTCAAGCCTTCTCACATCAGTTATCTCCAACATCCGTCCTCTTATGCCATACAGAGTTGGCAGCGCTTCACACATTGCACAAGCATCAGCAACAGTTACGGCATCTTGAAGTTCCACTCATACATACTATGCAGACTAGCCTATGCACCAACAACATAAACCCCAACGTGACTTCTAACATTAACTCTAACATCCAAATTCCTGTATGGCAGAAACGAGTGTTTAAGGAGGCCTTCAGCAGGTGTAAGTTTTGCTAGTATTCCAAAAACCAAACCGTGTTGATTCAATGTAGACTGTTAGCACAACCCCCCCCAACATGCGCGTAATGAAGTAATTAACTTCGAACACCTTTCCCGGTTGCCCGGCCACACCGGGGGTTGCCTGGTACCAGAGTCAAAAATCGCAGAAAGGTGTGACGAAGTTCCTTCATTACGTGCGTGTTAGGGGGGGGGGTTGTGCTAACTGCCTACATGGAATCAACACGGTTTGGTTTGTGCTTCGCTGTTTCGCCGGTTTTCAACCGGCGGTTTCCCGGTTGGCCGGCTCAACCGGCGGTTGCCCGGTTTCCCGGTTGGCCGGTTGGCCGGCTCAACCGGCGGTTTCCCGGTTGGCCGGTTGAACC